TCCCTACTCGTCCTCTTCATCTTCCAGCTCTGGCAGCTCCCCATAGATGTGTCGGAACCTTCCGGTTGTATTGATGTATCTTTACACCGCCGGTAATGCTTTTCTCGATGTAAGCATGGGTCCTATGCCCCACTGTTGGTTGGATAACTCCCACTGTAGTCGTTCCCTTGCTCTTCTATGTGCTGGGCATTCGAGTAGGTAGTGTCGTACCGTTTCATCCTCGTTTCGACAGCATGGGCAGGTCGGCGTTTCCGCTTTCCCGATTCGGTTGAGGTGTTTCTGTAGGGGAATATGTCCCGTTCGTAGCTGGGTGAGGAGGGATAACAGCGGTCTCGGTAGCCATCTCGCGAGTTTCCAATATCGTCTGCTGACTGCAGTGGCTGCGCCTGGGTCGATCCTCTGAAAAGCATCATATCGAGGGGACTTCTTCCAGAGTTTGTCGTGGTGTTTTTCTAGTCGTCTGCGAAATGTTCTATGTATGCTGATAGTCAGGCTCTCTACTCCAGTATGTGCTATACCTGTCGCAACTGATTCTCGTTACTAAAAATCCCTCAGTCAAGTCATTCAGGACACTCATCCACCTCATATTTGAATTATCATCTCAGTGTACCGAACATGACGACTTCTACATGCCCGAGAATCACTGTGCTCGTCTGTCACTGTGTCTATCACGTTTCGGTTGCATAATCTCATCAATATCAATCAAACGATGGTTATGGAGTATAGTCACTTTGTAGGAATACTCCGTTGGAACATCGTGAATTGAAAGTATTCTATCGTTATCTTAGTGCGCACAAACTACTTCGACTATATTAACCGGTTGGCTTCTGGCTGGGAAATCCCCCGGCTTCCGCTGTAGGAGGAGCCTCGTTCATTACTCCGCCTACTCTTCTTTCCACGCGCACCATTCCTGCCCCTTCAGCGACACTGACACTACCTAACGTTGTTTCTCTTTCCCAGCGCACCGAAGGCAACCGGAACACAGGCGAAGTACATTCCTTCATGCGAATAATGCTTGTTGGTTTGTTCCAACAATTTTTTCTTTCTAGAAAACCAGCGCAGGGAATAACGAACCGACATCTAGTGGTACAAACGCCCCCGGAGACTCTACAACTGAGCGAACGGCTGAGCAAAGGGCATATTCAAATATGTTAGCAATGCTCGTGTATCATGACTAAACCGCAAACAGGAAACATACTTCCGATGCTCAAGATAAGAATAAGGGCCAGTGAATGGCACGAGCTGTACATGATTTGGGTCAGTCTACTTGATGAATTTTTGAAAACTTGCACTTACCTTATTCCATGCATTATCCCAGCATTATCCCCTGAATTGTCATCTCTGCTTACTCCAGGTTTTGCTCGAGGTGCTACAGTAGTCTCCCTTCCTTCCCTTGATAAATGATTGGTACATATGAGGTTGGTTCTGGCAATGAAGTTCTTGTAGTCGTTAATTCGTGAATGTCTGGTCAAGAGATCATTGCATGTAATCTGGAACCTTCAAAGGTGCTGGTCTGAGAGAAGGTCCCAGTTGAAAGCACTGTCATTGTTCCGAGGGACATCTGACGCCTCAGGCTTATATCCCTCCACCTGAAGATCTATGAGAACAAGGAGTGGACCCAGATCATTCCTCACAGCGCTCAATCCTTGGTCGATTACGATCATTACAATTTATCTCAATGGTTCTCTTCTTCAACTTGCAAAACTGAAATTGGAAGTCCCACGAGACTATAACCAATGTCACTGGTGCAGGCATACTACTAGAAGTTCTTGGAAAGACGTGAGTACACGAAGATGCTGAGTTTTGCAAGTGACATCTAATAATCAGAATCACTGCAACCCTGCTTTACATCAGATTTTGAATAAGTCGTGATATCTACTATGATAGTGCGTCTGTATCCACATCTATGCAACCATGACCAACCTAGCTCCATCTTCATCGAAATTATTTTCCCTCCACTTTTTCCCCTCAACTCATCGGAGCCTAGTACCATTCGTATAATCAGTACAATGATGTACATCTGACACCAAGTTAGAAGCATCTGAGCCATGGCTATGGCATGTCAATCACTGCTCTTCAGTACATCGGATAGCATGCATACAAGTGTGGACAGCTGAGGATACAGCATTCAAGAATGGATACAAGCCACCCCAGCACCGCCACAGACAGATGAAAACTTGAAGTAACCGCGCCCGTCGAACTTTATCAAAATACTTTCAAGTTATAGGGCTGTATAAAGGTAAGTTCAAGCACAATTTCCAATGGATTTTTGTGTCTGTTTCACTACTTGTGGCGAGCATACGTACCTAGAAGGTTAATTAACTCAGAGCATTTGCATAACTATTCACAGGACTGATGATAATTGGCGCATATCACAGCTTGGGGTCTGTCATCCTGACAGAATCTTCAATTTATCATAGTAAATCCCTCATCTGTTTCATGACCTTTCTCTTCGAGAAATCGGGCCGACTTTGGACCCCTGCAGCTAGAAACAAGGTGAAGGTTGTTAGTAGCTCCTATTTCTTTTACGATCTCGAATAAGTTTCCAAGATCATCTCAACATGCCTTCAACAGGGCTCCCCAACTAATTCAGGTGAAGCCTGCAGTGCACTCATATCTACCTCGTCTTAACATCTAGTAGTCCTCTTGCTTCATCATATAGATCATTCTTTGGGCATCCGCATTTCTCTAGAGGGATTGAGCTAATTCAGCGCAACAACGGCCTGATCATGTCATACAACTCCATATGGTTCATAACACATTTCAATACAACAGGTGATGATGATACAAATATTAGGCACTCAAGGTGGATGACTACGCCAGTTACTAATAAGTACCAGATCATCATACCCCAGCTATACCTTAGACTGTTCCTGACACCAGTCGAACTGTACAGTGACCGCCCTTGACTGACTCTAGTTTTCGCAGACTCCTTCCGGGCCTACTAGCCAGGTGCAAGTTTATTGCACTGGTGAGCCTGGGTTCTGGCCACTTGTAGATCATTGTTACTGTATCCTATCTATCATCCCTAAGTATTAGACCCAGTTTCACAATGTTTCACTTCACAGCGTCATTACAGTCTTGTGTTTTCTGGCTCCCATGCAACTCTTATTCTTTTCCATCATTTTATTAGGTGCGTTGGAATGTATACATGTAAGATACAAGATAACAGGAAGGTTGATCTTTTTTTTTGCCCTTAGAGCTGGTCTCCCCCAAGTATAGCTCACGGTAAGCACCGGCGAATTTAGTATATCTCACAAATCCGCAAAAACGACCTTCACATCCGTCCTGTGTTCACTACTATCTTAGCCATCGGAGCCGCTTCCTCCGTGCTTGTGGTTCCCATTGTCAAGTGCATCTGGCACCATTACTTCCACGGTTGTAGTTTCCCCAGCAGCGCCAGAATCTGCTGCCAGTGTGGTTGGAGCTTCATTCTCATCTTCAACTCCGTCCTCTGATACGGCCAATGGCCCTCCATTCAACCTGATCCCGCTCTACTTTCCGGACGCTCTGGAAGCCCCCTATTTGATGTCCGGAATGAGGATGATCTCCCCCGAAAAGGACGAAGCCAGAGGTTTTATTTTCCTAGTGATAGATTCAATTAACTCAGTCGGTTTTTTTTTAACCTTTGAAAATTCTCAGTTTTACTGACTTCATCCATCTCACCTGCGTCCAATCGCTGTGATGATAATGCCATCCCTTCGTTGATAGTTACGATGAGACTTGCTCGTTTGTACGTAGTATATTGACTTTTGGCTATGCAATTGTTCTAGTTATTCTCAAGACTCAGGTGTTCGAATTCTCCTCCAAAGGAGCTGACGAGGCCCGGCCTAGCGTGACATGAATTCGTCATCCCACAAAGTGCTCTTCAACTCTGCCGGTAATGACAACGTCTAATATCAAGCACAGTGCATTCACTGCAATCCGACTTACATCTAGCACATTCCTTATCAAAGAGTTTGATGATATCTACTCGGAACATCCACATATTTATGCTATCATCGTCCCGGTATCGAACTTAGTGACCAACTCAGCTTCGAAGCCTGGTACAATAATTCTCATAGATACAGGCTGCGGAGGTGCATCGAACGATCCTAAGACTCGAATCACCAATCTTCGAGAGTTTATCGAAACGGTCAATGTGCCGGATAACGACAGAAGGCCTTTGAATGGACTTGATATGACAGGGAGAGCAAAGATGGACTATATCGTCGTATTGACACATTGCCATTATGATCATATTCGTAAGTTGCACTCCGTATTCTAGTGGTTTTCGACTGAATTCAACTACCCAAGTGGGAGTAGAACATTTGTACGTTAAAACAATCTTCCGTTTTGTGATCCTCCTCGACAATCTCCTCTTACAGCTCCGATTCACCCATCTTTGCATCTTCGCATTGTCCTGAATTCCTTTCCAATATCCCAGAGCATAGTCTTTGCAATTTTCTCGACATACATACTCCGAAATACACCCCGAGTGTTGTATCGCATGGCCACATTATATCGAATCTGATTACCATTCTCCACACACCAGGACATACACCAGACTCTTTGACGATCTATGATTCCACCTCCAATCCGCCAATGCTTTACGTTGGGGATACTCTGTATGAATATGAACCGATTATGTTCCCTAGCGAAGGCTCTATAGTAGATTGGTTCAGAAGTATTGAGGCGTTGATTGAGTTTGTTGAAACTCAAGAACGCTCAGGCTCGGAGGAAGAAGAACCTCTGAAATTTAAAGATGAAAAACACCAGCAAAGAGTCTTACTCAACGCCGGCCATGTTACCTACCTGCAACCAGCCCTGACAGTTCTTCGAGCTGTTATGGCATTTATGGAGGATGTTGTTAGCGGAAGAGAGCCGGTGAGGAGGAGATGGGTGAAGAGAGGTGAGGAGACGGTGGAGTATCGGCAGTCACAGTCATTAGCCAAGTATTCTCTGATCTGTCCGGAACGTTTAATTTTCGATGTTGCTCAAAGTAGACGTTAAATCTATAGGCATTAATGGGGTAGTGGTAACCTGGGTCGTTGCCATTTGATTTCAAGATCCTCGACCCGCCGGGGGTTCGATTCCCTCTTAATGCAATATTGTTTTGATTCAGTTTTTAAGCGTCTGTAAGTATAGTAACTCCGTGGACTCATCGAAGTAAGTATTATAATCCTGAAGCTCAATCAGTGCGTTCTTGGTAAATATCTCTTTCTCGAGCAATATTTGACGCGGATTTCGAGATTCAGTTTGGTAACAGCTACCTTCGACAGTATCGTTTCAGTTGGAACATTCGACGCCAATTTTCCTGCATGTAGCAAACACTGAATTGGACCGATGTAGACGTGAACAGCATTCGGTCTTCTGTGATACTGGGAACGAAGAGACAACTGGATACTTCGAAAATCAAAAGTGTGTCCGATTCAGCTTTCAGTTAACATTCCGCTTGAAGTCGCTCAAGAAACAGTCAATTCGGATATAACAGCGTAAGCTCGCGCTCAGATTCTAAAGTCGGAGAATGGAATTAGGGAAAGTATTATTGCACAGGTTGATACTTGGTAATGAAAAAAGTCTCCAATGCGTTCAGTGACTTTGATCTCGTCTCAAGTACAGTAAGCTTCCTCGTTTCATCGATCGTCCTTAATCATTACAGTAATCTCAGCCACTCAACCAAGTTTGTCATTTGACCTTGGGCTTTACAGACATTCAATCCACACTTAGGCAGTACTCAAGTTCAAAGTCTCAGACTTTCACCCTGATTGGGTGGAAATGACACCTCCGAGACGAGTCTATCAAGTCTAACGGAGCAGACAAGCTTCTCCGCTATGCCCGTTCAAATACCTATAAAAGCCTTCAATTCTTTTCGTTTAACTGGCAGTTCAACTTCACAGACCACCCCGAACCAACATGAAGTCTACTTCTTTTATCAGTTTTTCCGCCTTCGTCTGTGCAGTCACCGCTTTTGTCATCCCACAGGCTCGAGACACCACATCGACCATCGATGATACAGTTGTGCTCAACTACGCTCTCACTCTTGAGTACCTCGAGGCCGCCTTCTACTCGGGTGCTCTAAGCAACTTCTCTCAGGATGACTTCGTCAATGATGGTCTTCCTGAGTGGTCCAGAGGACGATTTGAACAGATTGCTGCTCACGAGCAAGCCCATGTTCAACTTCTGAGCGGTGCACTTGGCGCCAACGCAACTCAGGCATGTAATTACAGTTTGTAAGTGCCTGTTTTTTTTGGGGCAAAGGCCAATAATTCACCCCTTTCCTATTCTTTAGCCCGTACACTTCTCCATCTTCGTTTACCGCTCTTTCGCAACTTCTTGAAGGTGTAGGCGTGTCAGCCTATGCTGGTGCCGCTCAATACATTTCCAATGCGAATTATCTCACCACTGCGGCCGTCATTCTCTCTACTGAGGCTCGTCATGCTGCCTGGGTCGCTGGTCCGGTTAACAAAGAGAATGCTTGGTCTGGTCCCTTTGATACTCCCCTTGGTCTGAGCGTTGTCTACACTCTCGCAGCTCAATTCATCACTAGCTGTCCTTCATCCAACCCATCGTTGCCAGTCACAGCGTTCCCAACGCTGTCATTTACCGACGCTTCACCTGGTCAATCATCGAATATCACTGCCGATGGTGTTACCACCGACGGGCAGTTCGTTGCATTCTTTACCGGTCTATCCACCATCTTCGTAGAAGTTGAGAACGGTCAAGTTGTTGTTCCCAACAAGACGATGATGTACGCTGTCTTGACGAACAGTAATTCTACTGCCGATGATTCTACGATTACTGCTGGCGTGGCGGTATTGCAGTTCCCATTCAACTCAGATGGTGATTCCTCGACTTCATCGGGAGATTCGAGTATGAATGTTATTTCTTAATGACCTTTCCATTTTATGATGTCTGGATTATGTGTTATTACGCTTACGTCTCTGTTAGACATTTGTCGGTTGCTGTGTTATATGTGCTCACATGATATGTATATATTTCTTTCTTATATATTTGAATGCAATGCTTTCATTCGATCAGTTAAGTTGCCAAACCAGCATCAACTTCCAGTGGAGTGTTCAGTATGTTCCAGCGCAAATCTGTCTTCCCTCACGAACAATTATTTTCTTCCCAAACGCAAATTAACAACTCGCCACACAGGCTATTCATCGTACCGCATAATTTACACTCTGCACAAATCCTTATTCGCACGCAGATAAATAAATAAATAAAGTCTTTCTGCAGGGTCAAACCGGTTAGAGCAATTTCTAAACCCACACTGGGATCATCACTAGCAACACAAATGTCGGGTAACAGCATACCGAACCCCACAAACATGGGTTTTCTCCCGGGACACCAAAGTTTCAACTAACCCACATCGAACGCTTAAACTACGCCATTTTGCAACAATACAGCGATACATTGGTTTCAACTGGGACTTAGAGAAGAAGAAGGTATCACTGCCGTCGGAGAAAAATGGAGAAAATCCAAGAGCGGATGGCGAACTGGCTGCCCGATGACGCAACACTCAAAGCCTCAGAAGCAGCCAGTCTACACGGAAAGCTGGTTCGTGCATTTTCCAGGTAATCCACCCCTTGTTACACTCACTATCAATATTCAGCTAATCATTCCACTCCGCACGCAGCAAGAGGATACCCCCAAACTCAGTACGTGAGGATATTAGCTGGATACAGCACATACTGACAACAGCCCCACACTCCATACCGATAAGACCACTGGAAAAGGCAGATATTCAATGGTGGGGAGACACCAGCATGTCCTTTGGTATTGGGGTAGTGATAGGATGTTATTACGCATGTTGGAAATGGGCACCAGGTTTCACAGTGGGGCCAAAGCAAAGATTCGACATTGGGTGGGCCGAAGTGGTAGCGGTGGAATTAGGTCTACGGCTAGTAGTAGAAAAAGCCCTAACAATCAAAGGGCACTCATACCTGGTACGTTCCGACAATTCTGGGATAGTAAGAGTAGTCAACAAGGGAAGATCACGGAGTGCAGAGATGAACGAAATCTTCACGCACCTATATCAGCAACAAGGGAACACATCAATACAGTTAGTGTCGGAGTATGTATTGTCCAGAGAGAAGGTAGTGGATGCACTATCCAGAGGAGACATAGCAGCATTCTTGAAGGCTTTCCTGCGAGCGACGACCAAAGTAATGGTCAATCTGCCAGACCACCTCAAATACTGTTTGATACCTTTATGATGCGGACGTCCAACACACACCCAACACTATTACCAGCGACAACCCCAGGAAAGTTATGCATGAATCCGTCTCCGCTAAGACCACATTGTGCAGCAAACCAATGCATATTCCAATGGATTGGTACAAACACCCCCGCACGCTCCACGATCAGCAACCCCTTAATCCGGTTTTCGGCCAATTTCGCCTCACTCCATTCACTAAAGGACTCTGCAAGCTACGGTTCAGGTTTGAGAAAATTCCATATATTTTGTGACATATTCACGATACCAGAAGCAGACAGACTGCCAGCATCATTCGCAACACTACACTCCTTTGCATTATGGGCGGCGTCAAACCCAGCCACACTTCCAACAGAACTAACAGAGGAAGTCCCATTTGAGCCAGTAGCGATTAGCACAGTGAAAGCCTACATGGCAGGCATCAGAGCCTGGCATTCCGCACAAGGATGGCCGGATCCACTATCAAGTAATGAGCACGAACGAATCAATTTCTCCCTCCGAGGACTGCTAAATTTGTTTGGCCCACACAAGTGACCGATGCACCCACCAATCACTCTGGCAATGCTACGGGCTCTTAACTGGACGCTGGACAAAAATGATGCATTCAATGCATGCATTCGGGCGATGGTGGCAACAGCTTTCTGGGGCATGATGCGTTTCGGTGAAGTATCAGTAAAGGTAAGATCGGATTTCAACCCAAGCAAGCACCTGAAGAGGAACGACGCTCATTTCGGATATGACATGGACGGAGTAGAATTCATAAGGCTGGATCTACCAGCAGCCAAAACAGCAAAGCCAGGGAAAACCCAAAGTGTATTCCTCATGGGCACCGGGGACCTAAGCGCCATTGAGGCACTCCGCAACCTAGCCAAGGTGGTGCCAGCCGGACCCAGAAATCGTGAGGATTGCTGGCAGATGGAGATCACTCGCCTACGAGGCATACATCAGAGCCTTTGAACAGGTGGTATCGCGACACATGAAAGGTGCGACCCAATTCCCAAACCGACAAGATAATGCTCCACCGTGAGTTGGGGGGGGGGGATGCGCCTATCCCGCCGCAGGGTGGTCTCGCATTCGTGGGTGAGTGGCGTGAGATTTGTTTGTTCGCCCCAACCTCCCTTTGGAATTATAAACAAGTCCCTTTTTACACTCCGCCAAATGATATTTTCACCCTTGAAATTCATCGCTTGCCGTTCTTTCGTTATTTCCGTCGTCGAGCATGTTCGACTGCGAATACAGCATGTGATACAAGGTAAACTTGTTCAACAAGACAGTCATCAAAAGCTCGTGAAAAGACGATGATTTCTAGCATTGCATCCTACAGAGTAGAGAAAAGACTTGCAGGACGGAGAGAGGGTAGTCTATTTGATCCGTGAGTACTAGTAAGCATAGCCCCGCCACAAATGAATCGCAGTAAATCAATATACACTTGAAGCTGAATATTCGTAAAATCATGAATGATGGACAGATGTACGTAGGTGGATGTAGATCATCGTCGCGCGAAACGTGAATGCCTGCGAGATCGTATGTAGCATTTGACTGATCATGCGAAGGGAAGCGTTGGAAAACAACAGAGAAGTATCAAAATTGGAGGGGGATATGCAATAGGAAGTAAAATATGTGAGGAATATATGCAGAAATATAGGTACGACAACAAATAAGTGTTCAAACCAAAAAAAAAAAAACACAAAAAATTGAATGTGGAAAAGATATGTCTTGGAGAAGGATCATCAATGAAGGCGGAATACAGAAAGTCCTCTAGGGAGACTTACCACCAATACCAACAGGCACTCTCATCGCTTCGAACTAATAGCACTACCTTTCATCTTCCCCTGCGTTTGCGTCTGCTTCAGCCTCTCCGCCATCCTCTTCATCTGATCCTTC